GCTCGCCGGGGCCCGAGGGCCACTTCCCGGGCCACCTGGTGGACGTCAGCGGCGCCGGGACGCTGTCCCACAGCTACCAGTATGAGGTGTGCCTGACGGGAGGTACTGGGACCAGTGAGTTCAAGTTCATCAAGCCCATTCTCCCCAACTTCCTTGCTCAGGGTGAGGAGGGTGTTAATGAGGCAAGTCCGGTTCAAGGGTAAGTTTGAAGTCAGTTAAGTATTAATAAGCGTCTAATGGAGCCCAGTATAAGTTAATTGGTGGGAATTTCCACTGCTTTGCTCATTGGTGGTATTATTATTAGGAAAGTCTCTTGTTCCAATTCATTACATACTTTTGGTGTTTCTGAAGTGTTGCTTTGTGAAATGGCAGCAATTTCTTTGTATTCTTATTGGTGATAGTTTTTACTGTAACTTAATTCAGTTTAAATTGTGAAGGCATTTTCTGTTTTACAGAAGTCTTTACATTTAAAGTTAGAACACATTTTCTGAACATTACCTTCCCCAGTTCCTAGATAATTTTCCAGGCCATATTTGTAAATGTTTCCTAACTCAGGATTATTCTCCACCCTACCTCCCCACTTTCTGAATAGTTTTTATATACTCTTAAGCTGTTGTAATTTTTGTTCTGCGAACTCACATTGGGTAAAATGAACAGGTATAGTCATTAATAACAAGGCATGCACACACATTGTTCTAAATATATACTTTTAAAGTGTATATGCATGGAAATGATAGAGATTGTGAGAAACTTGACTGTTGGCTTCCACAAATCCATATATCTTAAAGGTACTCAATAAATCAATATTTTAAAGTGCCATAAAATAACTAGCACATGTTCTGTCATTTTCAAAGACAAGCTATTTTTTCATGCTTTCTATTTAAATTTTTTAAAAATTGCCTCTTTCAATCCTTCCCTTTAAAAACTATCATTTTATTTATGAAAGTCACCTATTAACTTTGAGCACTTCATTAAAATCTAAAACATTTGAGGGAATATAATGTTTTTGTCCTTGACCAAATTTTAGAAACTTCAATGTAGTTTGGATTACATTACATTTTCCAAAAATTTGTGGTGCACTTATGATTCAATTGAAAATAAGCCTGTAGCAAAAATACTTATCTTGGTCTACTCTATTTTGATTTTTGTTTTGCATTAACTTTATTTGTATTTTTGTCTTTCTGTTTCTTAGAGCTTTACAGTGCTTTTTCTTTCGAGGTGCTTGAATTATGTTTCCCAAGGCTCCCACACTAGCACAATGATAGGAAGTTTGCAGGTTTTAATAAAAAATTTGAATGATTGACTGAAATAAAGAATTGTCTTTGTTTTACCTGTGATATACTGATGTTTAAATACACTAAAATATTCACAGGGCAAAATTTATATTGATCTCTAAAGTATAGGCATTTTAAAAATTATGTAAAATTAAAATTAATCATATATATAGTTTTTGGTTATTAGTTAAACTGTACAATTAATCAAACATTTAGTTATCAGCCCTAGTGTCTCTTTAACATATTTTTCCTTTTCTTCCTCTTTTAGTTTCCTCTCCTGCCCATTAGCTTAGGAAATACATATGAAAAAAATTACCTTCTATTTTCTAATTTAAATTACCTTCCATAGTTCCTTAAACGGTTGATCCAAATTTCTTCTTACAATTCATTTTCTAATCCATACTTTACAATAAAATGTTAATTATTAGTGTTCTTCAACTATTTAACAATTTTATATTTTATGTTATTCAGTAACATTATAATGTGATATTAAAAGAGCTCACTCTGAGGGCCTTCCCTGGTGGTGCAACAGGTTAAAGCACAGCATTATGAAGCTATCCTCAGCCACTGCAGCATGAATTCGATTCCCAGCCAGGGAGGTGACCCACATGGTGTGGCAGACCCTGTGGGTCTTCTGACCCTCCCACTCTTCCTATATTTCAGTCAGTCTGCCTGTTCTGCTCCCCTCTCTGTCTCTAGTGAATCCTCTGACCCTCCCACACCTCTGGCCTATACCCCAGTTCTTACATGCATAAATAAATACATCTTAAAAAATAAATAAAAGATCTCACTTTGAGATTAGCAGTGGTCTAGTGCACTATCTTCATATCAGAAGTCTCTAATTAACCAATTTATTGGCTGTAGGATTTTGCATAAGTTACATAATTTCTGCATCCCCTAAAATTATAAATTATTTCAATAGTTTGCAGTCACAATTAAATAAAATAATACAAAGATATAGAAGCATAATTGTTATTTTTAGCATCACTAATATGAAAAGTAGGTTTAACAGATGAGCCTTCATTTACATTGCTGATAATTTTGAAGTCTGTTAAACAAGTGGTATTTGTGATGTTTTTCTGCCTAAAACATTGCAATAATCTCCTTTCATTCCTAGAATAAGATCCAACTGCCCATATTTGGCCAGTTTAGCTCTCCAGCCAGATCATCCTACTTAGTCTCAAGACACTAAGTTTTGGATACACAATCCTTCCTTTTCTAAAATAGCTTTGCTTTCCTGTCATAGGGCTTTCTATATCAGTATCTTATATAAAGAATCTACATTCTACAGTCAACCTAGAAACCACTCATCCTTCATATTTCAGTGGTGTGGCACTTATATGGAGAACCTTTCTCACCCTTCCCCATTCAGTTAGGCTCCTCTATTGCATATTTTCTGTGCACTCAGTACATCTCTAATATAGCACTTTTCACACATTTTGAACAATCTATTAAAGTCTGTCACCCCATTACATGGAAGATTATATAAGACTATTAAACATGATCTGTCTTGTTACCACTATATTCCTAACTTCTACAGACTCACTAAATATGCACAGATGAAATATAAATGTGCAGCTAAAACTTAACATGATGAAATGAGTAATTATAAAATTACTATGTAATAAAAAGGAGAAATATGGTGTTCCTTGCATGAGTGTGAAGATATGTAAGGAAGTAGGCACCTGTAATCCTCTGGATCTTCCTCAGGATATGATCTATTGTAATTTTTTGTCACCTTGCTTGAGGTCTTCGCATAGCATTTTTATGACCATCAATGCAACTCGTGCACATTTAACAAAAAATCTAAAAAGTAAACAAACCCCCAAATAGGATAGTGATGCATGTCATCCTTTAGAGAAAAATCTTTTATGCAGTAGTTCTAGCTCTGTGGGAACAGATTTAGCAGCTGCCCACTTTCTGCAAATCATATATACAAATACTCTGTTGTGGACAGTCAGGCCCTAAAGGAAAAAATTCATTTCATTTCTCTAGTAAACTCGTATACCAAAGAAATTCCATCAGTAGCGTCGGGTGAGTGTGGTAAGAGGAATAAGCAAATTTAAACTCAAACCAAAACACCGAAACACCTTCTCTAAGTTTTGAAACTGCTAGCGAACGCATGGTGGCGCTGTTGACTAAGAAGGAGAATTAAACCACAGTGTGCAAACTACGTAATGCACCGATCCCGTGGGGGTAAACTAGGGGTTGTGAGTGTGAGCAGATTTTAAGGAAGCAAATCTGACCTTCTGGAAAGGAATGGTCGCTAGTCCTTCTTCAAAGTTTGAGAGGCAAAAGACTGCATTTCCCAGGGCTATCAGAGGCTGAACTTGACTATTTCTTGGAGGAACCTGGCAGAAAGAGCAATGGAGGCCGGAGGGGAGCGCTTTCAGAGACAAAGGCAAGTCCTGTTTCTCTTTGTTTCTCTGTGTGGGTCTCTGCTTGGGTCGGAGTCAAGACGCTACTCCGTGGCTGAGGAAAAGGAGAGGGGCTTTTTAATAGCCAACATAGCAGAGGACCTGGGGTTGAGTGTAGGGGAATTAGCGGCGAGGGGGGCCCAAGTTGTGTCTAAAGGAAACAGACAGTATTTTCAGCTCAGTCCCCAGACGGGTGATTTGCTCCTGCTGGAGAAATTGGATCGGGAGGAGCTGTGTGGCCCCACAGAGCCATGTACACTTCACTTTCAGATACTATTGCAAAACCCTTTGCAATTTATCACAAATGAGCTCCATGTCACAGATGTAAATGATCATTCTCCGGTATTCTTTGAAAACGAAATGCAGCTGAAAATCCTAGAAAATACTCCACCAGGAACAGTAATTCCTTTGGGAAATGCTGAGGATTTGGATGTGGGAAGAAATGGCCTCCAAAATTACACCATTACTCCTATTTCCCATTTCCATGTTCTCACACGTAGTCGTAGGGACGGAAGGAAGTACCCAGAGCTAGTGCTGGACAAATCGCTGGACCGGGAAGATCAACCAGAGCTTAGATTAACGCTCACGGCGCTGGATGGCGGCTCCCCACGCCTCTCTGGGACAGCCCAGATCCACATCCTGGTCTTGGATATAAACGACAACGCGCCAGAATTTACACAGTCGCTCTATGAAGTTCAGATTCTAGAGGACAGTCCGGTTAACTCTGTTATTGTTACTGTCTCAGCCTCGGATTTAGACACAGGAAAATTTGGGACAATAGCATATGCATTTTTTCATGCTTCTGAAGAAATTCTTAGCACTTTTCAACTAAATCCAGATACTGGTGATATCCAACTAGTTAAGAACCTGAATTTTGAGGCTATTAATACTTATGAGTTTGACATAGAAGCCACGGATGGCGGAGGGCTTTCAGGAAAATCAACTGTGGTAGTTCAGGTGGTTGATGTGAACGATAACCCACCAGAACTGACCTTGTCGTCAATTACCAGCCCTATCCCGGAGAACTCGCCAGAGACTGTGGTAGCCATTTTCAGTGTTTCTGATCTGGACTCTGGCGATAACGCGAAGTTGATGTGTTCCATAGAGAATGGTCTGCCCTTTGTCCTGAAACCATCTATAGAGAATTTTTACACCCTAATGTCAGAAGGAGCACTGGACAGAGAAAGCAAAGCCGAGTACAACATCACGATCACCGTCTCGGACATGGGCACCCCCAGGCTGCAGACCCAGCACAACATCACCGTGCTGGTGTCCGACGTCAACGACAACGCCCCCGCCTTCAGCCAAAGCGCCTACACGCTGCTGGTGCGCGAGAACAACAGCCCCGCCCTGCACATCGGCA